AATAAATTTTGTTCTACATTCAGGATATTATAGAGGATTATAAGCCTTTTAACTAATGTTACTGTCTTATTTAAATTGAGCAAATTGGTATTTCAGTCCCATAATCTTGTATTTCTTAAAGTTGAGCTAACCAGATGTGGCTTCATCTGATGACTACTGAAATCACTGGGCTGGGAAGTGTAATAGAGATAATGGGATGAAAGCATAACACTGCTTGTTAGTAACATTGGTAATAAATGTTGAAGAGAACAGAATCTGAATTTAGGGCTGAGTATCTCCTTCCTCAAAAAGGTACTAGGGGGTCTCCCTGGAGGTGCAAGGGGTTAAGATGCAACCTATGAGCTGTCCACAGCCTCTGCAGCATGGGTTCGATTCCCGGCAAGCCAGGGAGCAACCCACATGGTGCAGCAGACCTCTCCTGTCTTGCCCGCTGCTCCCCTCAGCAGTGTATTTCAGTCAGTCTGCCTGTTCTGTTCCCTGCTCTGTCTCTGGTGAGTCCTCTTGCCCCCTGCATCTCTGGCCTATACTCCAGTTCTTGTATGCATAAATAAATAAATCTTTAAACAAAAAGGGATTACAGTATTTCACCAACTCTTTGCATTAAAGGAGAAAAAAATGTGTATGTGTTTAGCAATTGAGAGTGAAGAAATGGATGACAAATAGAAATCTAAAATTCAACAAATGATCATTTTGTAACTTTTAGGTATGATTTCAGATGTCAGTAAAGGAAACAGGCTTTTCCCCACTTAGCAGCATTTAGTATGTGCTTGTAATATATTCTTAAAGAGGCGAGGAAATTATCTAGCCTCCTAAAGGATTAAATTATGAGTTTTCTCTTGTAGTGTTATTAAATTTGTATTAAGAAATGCTACATGACTTTAAAACCAAACCTCAAAAGTTGCTCTGAATAGGAGTTTAGCCTATGATGACAATAATTTGAGAGTGATATGTAATTATCCAATTCTCAGACAAAATTTTAAAAGAAATAAGTTTTTATTGACACTTAGTGCTATAATATTCTGGATTTTGATTGTGTACTGTTTCCGATATTCTGCCTAACAATATTTATTATATTCCCTCCATTGATCACACCAAAGGTCTGCCACAAAAATTCAAAAATGTTTTGTTCTCAGGTCGGTAATTATTTAAACAGCAAAAATAACATTGCCTACAGCAGATGTGATATCTACTGGTCATTGACTATGCTGAGTATGCTTGCCATAGCTTCTAGGTGAAGTATTGACCTCAGTGTTATTTCTTTAAGGAAGACTATCAGGACTTTGGGACAAGATGATCTTAGGTTCTAGCCCTATTTCCTACCCACTGTGTGATGTTAAACATGCTCTGTGACAGACGAGTCGTGAAGAGGTGGCATATGTATACAATGGAATACTACTCAGCTATAAAAAGCAGAATCTTGCCATTTGTGACAAAACTGGAGGGGATAATACTTAGTGAATTAACTCAGAAAGAGAAAGACAAAATGGGATGATTTCATTCATATGTTGGGTATAGAGAAAACAAAATAAAGGAGCCAGCAAATCTAAGCCTAAACAAATCCTGGAAATGTGTCTCTAGAATTGAAGCTTCTAGAAGGGTGGGAACAAAGGTGAAGAGTAGGCCCAATGATGGACGATGGTAGAGGATTATGGGTGACTTGGTGGTAGATTTGGTATAGTAATATTTATCTAAGTAGGCATGAGCCTATTCCTCTAAATCATACACAGTGTTGTAAACCACTGTCCTTAATAAAAAATAGTTACCAAAAAAAAAAAAAAGATCCCAAATTATCACACATATGAAGATTCATGGTTATTTATTTTAAATAAGGCCTTACAATGTAAACATTAAAAATTGATGATGAGGGGAAAAAAGTTTGGAGTGATTTCTCTTTTTCCTTATTTGTACAATGGGCATAAGATGTGTCCTTCATGGGGTCAGCCTAAGGGTTACAGGAAAGAACTTATAAGTGGGAGGGTGACATCTGGTACAGATGATGATGCTCAGCACAGGGGCCTCTCCTCTGTCACCAGCCACCCCCAAACACCATTGCCGAGGTGCTTTAGTCTTGGTGACCACAATGTGTGCATCCACCATGTTGCCGTAGACCACCACACCTCACCTTGAGGTGTCTTTTTCCTGACACATGTACTTGCTGCTTCTCTCCTGCCAGCTCGTTATGATGCGGTTGTTTCTGCTCTGAGTTCTTCCATGTCAGGCACTGTAGTGTCTGAAGGCTGAGGACCTAGAGTATCCTCACACCAGTGGGGCCTCTATGCCTACAGCTCAAGTCATGGTGACTGAGAACCTCCCAGGTGTCTTGTGGGGTCTCACTGTATCTCCCCAAATTCTTCCAGGTAACCAGGAAGGGAACTTGCTGCCTCAGCACCCTTAGACCATCTTTTCCTGGCCTCTTCTGACATGTTAGTTGGGACCACCTACAGTGTTTCTCTGAGTTGGCGCCTTAGTCTAGCGCCCCCTGCTGGCCCCCTCCTCTCTTAGCGTTTTCTCTCTAGAAGCTCTTGCTCATCAGGGATGTAGAAGTGTCACCACTGACCCAGCACATTTCCTCTGTTCTGTTTTCATAATGACAATGCCCACCCTTTTCCTCGAGATGTACTACTCTGTCCATTACTTCACCTGTATCTGCCTTAATGCTTTGGCATTTTCTCTTTGGGGAGATGGTGGGACAAGGCTGTGCAGAAAGTCATACTGTTTACTCCCCTGGAAACTGGAGACTTTTCTCATGTTCATTCATTTTGTTCTTATACATAAAAACTAGAAATAAAATCAAACACTGTGGGTTACATTTCACAAATCTTTTGTTTGTCCTTCTAGTACCATCTGGCAGATCTATTCTCTGTCCCCTGTCCCCCCAAGTTTCTGTTCATTATTATGCCTTCCTAATGGCCTCACCCTGATCAGCAGGCTTAGGGATTGCTATGGCTCTATGCTGTTTGGCAGTGAGCACTGAAATGAACTCTTGAAAGACTCAACCTCACTATACTATTATTTATTTATGCATGATGACATGCACTGTGGTTTCTGGAATATCTTCAGAACAACATTATTTCCCGCTTCATTTTTCAAAGTGCATCTTGGATATCATGTAATCAGTTTGGAGATTGCTTTTGACAGAATATAAGAATTCATGGTTCCACCTCTTTTTGCTTCAAAGTAATATATGGAATTTTACCCTGAACTTTTAGCCTTCTTTCCTTCATTTGCTTCCTCCTTTACTTTCCAACCTGAGAATGTTATGTTAGCTTTCATAGGGAGAGCTTTACCTGTCCCATAACAAGTGGCTGGGCATTGGGAGGAAATAGACTTTCAGAACTGGAAGGGAATTTCCTGCCATCTCAAACCTCATTTTACAGATTTGGGAGGACAGAGTGGCCTTTTAAGTGTCAGGAAAGAAGAGGCAGGTCTGGGATCCTATCACAGAACATAGAATTCTGTGTGATTTCTATCTTATCTTTAAAAACAATTCTATTATTTTGTTGGGGGCAATGAAGAAATATGATTGCTTCAGGAAAGAATCTATCATAACAAATGGGAATGGAGTTTAATGTTTGTTTGTTTTCCTTTTAAGGTCCCTGATATGCCAGATATTATACCAGATTCTATATATTACTAATTTAACCCCCAGGTAGTTTTATTATTTTCCCATTTTACAAGCAGGGCATCTGAAACTCACAGAGTGTATGATAGTGAGCGAGTCCCTTGTCAGGACTTGAAACCAGGCCATTCTCTCTCCAAAGTCTCAGCTCTGGAACTCGGCTTCCTCCTCTCTTTTTAAATTATTTACCCAAAGGACACAGAAACATCAGTTCCAAAGGGCACCTGCACCCCTATGTTTATAGGCTGTTTACAATAGCTAAGCTTTGGAAACAACCCAAATGCCCAAAAATAGATGACTGGATCAAGAAGATGTGGTACATATACACCATGGAATATTACTGAGCATTCAAAAAGGATAAACACATGCAATTTGCAGCAACATGGATGGCGCTGGAAGGGATCATGCTCAGCGAAATAAGCCAGAAAGAAAAAGAAAAATACCGGATGGTCTCACTCATAGCAGGAATCTAGAAAACTTAAATAAGAGACCAGGAAAAAGAATAACTGTAAGAAAGTGAAAATCAAAATCAACCAAAAACTATGAACCAGAGACACTCTGTGGGGGGTGGGGTGCGGGGAGGGGAGGGATTGGGGTCAAAATAAGGGGCTTGCAATTGTATGGGGAATATAAAAATAAAATTTATTTAAAAAATCAGCTTTCAAAAGCAGACTTGTAAAAATATCTAACTAGAATGTATAAAATACTTGAGCATTTATTATTATTATAGAAATAACCAAGAGTTTCTTGGCCTTGGATCTGCCTGACAATCAAATTTTGTATTTAGAAAAATACATTTTGTTTACTCTTTTTGGTGTCACCTGGAAAGCGGTCCACAGCTTATTTCAGAAACTTGGGTTCACATTTGGTGCCTTTGCCATTGTCCTTTTTGTAATTAGTGATATAAATATATACCAGTCCCTAGCTGTGAGGATAACTGCTCCACAAAAACTTTTTTTTTTTTAACCTTCTCCTCTGGCCCAGGTGTTCTAAAAGGCATTGACCAAAGAGCCGAGCCTGATTTTGGTTTTCTGACTGCCATGGGAGTGAGAGCATTGATTCTAGATTCAGGTGCTTGATTCTAATTCTGGCTCTTCCACCTATCAACAGTGGGATAATGGGCTAGACACTTAGTCTCTCTGGGTCTTAGTTTTCTCACCCTGTAAAATGGGGATAATACCAACCTCACAGGATTGTTGTGAAGATGAAATGGGGAAATACTTGTGAAGAGTGACACATGGTAAGTCTTGAGTAAAGGTTATCCCAGATAAGAAGTTTTACTTGACTGTAATAAAATAATTACAACATCATTGTAATACGCAATGGAAAAATCTCTGCTATCCTTCCTACTTTTATCCATTTTTCCCTTTTGATCCACCAGAGGCCAGCAGAAATAGTAGTTGAAGAAGAAGACGGAGAGAAAGAGAAGAAGGATGTCAAAGAGAAAGAAGACTTCTCAGGGATGAACGGGGAAGTTGAAGAGAAAGAAGGTGAGGACACTGCAGATGCTCCCGAGCAAGCTGAGGAGACCACTGAGCACAGTGAGGAGCAGGCAGGCCCTGCTCTTGTCAATGGAGGCACCAATGAAGAAAATGGCGAGGAACTGGATCAGGTTAATAATGAGGTTCAAGAGGCAGTAAACGAGGAAAAAAACTCTCAAGAAGCTGCCAGTGGGCAAGATGAGGTATTTCTATTGCTTTTGCATGCATGAATGTGTGAGCCTATATACATGCATGTGTGCGTGAGCACACACTTAGGGAATTGTTCAAGCACCCAGGACTTGCACTGAAACCACTTGTGATTGATTAGAAAAGGATTCAATAGTGTTTATTTGACTATGGTATTTCAGTCAGTTAACAAATGCTATCATCCACCTCTCTGGTAGACTATAAGTCTGTTCTGTCATCCATCCAACCATCCATCCTTCAATCCTTTCTTCCTTTCCCCCTTCTACCTTCCCTCCCCTTCCTTATTCTAGAAAAAATTTACAAAGGTTCCTAAGAACATATATAACAACACAGAGAGAAATATAAACAACAAATACAAATAACACCAGGGAAGATACAAACCAGGAAAAAATATCCAGACTAGTTATAGCTTGATATTTTACAAGGAACATTATCTCTATTATGGTCCTTGCTCTCTAGAAATATTAAAGTTTAGTGTGTTTAGTCCCCTTTGCTTGGTTTAATTTGGATTTGGTACACCTGGCATTCAATAATATACAGTTTTATTTATTATACAGAGAGACCTAATAAAGAGAAAGAATAAAGAAATATGTGCTGAGGCCTCCTTCCTGGCCTGTTTTCCTACCACTAGCCCTGGAGCAGGATAGCCTCAACTTATCCTGGTATTTTCCCCTAGGACACATCAAGTTCCATGGGATTGAGTAAGTTACATGCTGGTGAATGTGAGGCAGCTGCTGCCAGGTTCACACTGAGTCTCAGAGTATGAAGAGGCAAGATGTGCTCCCCAGCATTCTCATCACCCCCATATGCCTTTCCTCCTGTCTGTTCATCAGGTCAGGGCCCACCTGCCTCAAGGGTATAGGCTCTGAAATGGTTGTTGGCCCATTTACTCCCGACACCCACGGTGATATTGGGGTCTTCATGTTTATTTATTATTGACTCATCTGTTTTTTTTTTTTTTTTGCTTAGGGAAATCAACTTTAGTAATGGCAAGATATAAAATGTTCTTGGGGTCAGGTTTCAATGACTAGTACATTATTTGCAATCCACCATGCAGTTAAAAATGTTTAAAAATTTGCATTTTTAACATTTAATTGGAGACTCTCAAAATGCCTCTTTTCTCAAGATGAGATAATCACAGTTCTGTTAAATAAGAGATTCCCCATTTGTAGTTCTACATAGTTATTTAAATTTTAGCTAACATTCATATCCTGAAGTTGTTTGTAGCTGAAATTAAAAAAAAAAAAAAAGAATGCAGTCAGTTACATGATTCCCTTTTCCTTAATAAAGAAGCAAAGTGAATTTCTCAAGGAAGGCAAAAAAAAAATTTTTTTTTTCTCAAGGCAAACAAAATGTCCTGTTGGGAAAAGCATGAAAACTTATGGGAAGCACAAGAAATTAGAAGTGTCCTGAGTGTCACCTATGTGGCAACTATAGGGAAGCTTTCCAAAGCTCTTTGGTGAGGTAGCCTTCCTTTGCTGAACATTTACAGCTTGAAATCGGTATAAATTCTAGGTGGGAGCTAGGTAGTAAGATCCAGGTAAGAATTTTCCTAGTGATGTAGTTTAATCCAGTATTATCACCTCATCAGATTTTATGGACATAAATAGATTGGCTGCCCTTCCCCTTTCATGTACACATCTTAAAAATAAGCCTGTCATAGGAGTTGGACATCAGTCAAAATTAAGGTTATGTGCTTTGAAGTACAGATGTTCATGCAGTCTATTGAGGACAATCTAAATTCTTGGGAATCCAAGTAAACAGGTGCTCAATATGGGACTAGTTCAGGATTTTAAAGATGGTATAAATCCTAAAATAGAACAGTTACCTAGAAGAGATATTTTCTTTTCTTCAGCTCACCTCTCTTATAATGATAATATGTTTTATTTCCATTTCCCCAAAGTAATAGAATAGGTACACTTTACAGGTGCCAAATAGATGAAAAACCAGATCTATATGAGTAATAGATGAGATATTAAGTTACCTTTTGCAAAAGGGCCCTTTCCTTATAAAAACACAGTTTTCCATGTAACATTTTGCTCCTTATAACAGTCCTTGGGCAAAATGTAACATGATTGTAGGAAGACAGCAGGAATTATATAACAAATGCACAATGACCAGCAGACATTTAATGAGTTTGTACTGTATTCAAAATACTATGTCAGACATTTTATGACAAAACCATGTGAAATAATAGTCCTAGTAATTATCTATCTATCTGTCTATCTGTCTGTCTGTCTGTCTGTCTAACTGCCTGCCTGCCTGCCTGCCTACCTACCTACCTACCTACCTACCTATCGACCTATCTCTACATGTTTCATTTTTAGAGCATAAATTGTGGCCAGTAGGGGGAGACCTAGAGCTAGTCCTGTTGCTTCTCACCCTGTGGACTTTGTGGGGGCCGTGGAACAGAATTTGAAAAACAGCTAATTCAAATCTCCCATAGTTTTCAGTCAAGTGGGGCAAGACAAATTGTAAATGAGACAGTATATTAATAACATATGAGAAGTCCCAGGGGACAGGGACAATTATCTCTGTTGGAGAAATGCTGCCTCTGTGCTTTGATTTTTTGTCCTGCTCTTAGCTAAGTGATACATGGTGGTAGTTGGTATCAAATCACACACAAAAAAATTGTGAATTCGAGTCAAAAACAAACAGGAGAGCATCTGTTATGGGATGGGTTAATGTGACTTGACTGCATGTGTCTCTTCCCTTTTGTCTGAAAATGCTAAAATGGAAAGTATAAATAAGCGGTTGAAAAGAAATGCTCAGTGGTAAATAAGTTTGAAAAAAAAATCAAGGATAATAAAGCCCGCAGCTCAAAAAGTGAGTCTGTGGCCTTGAAAGCGCACAGTGGATTATGGTCCCAGGATAGGCTTATGTACAACTAAAGCACTAAGAAACGTGCGTCCACTGGGTATCGATGGAGTGCAAATCAAAGGGAACCCAAGAAACAGTCTCTAGTGGAATATTGATATGATTAAATTTTGGTTGCCTTTGTAAGCGAAAGAGCTTAATATCTTTGTTTTGATCCATTTTCCTCCAGGCTGATTCAGACTCTCAAAGACCACCAAGACCAGAAGTGAAAATCACCAGCCCCCAAGAAAATGATAACAACGAACAAAACAAGGACTCTGCGTTGTAGCATAGATGATTTTTAAAGAGAGCGTATATTGATGATAAGAAAAATGAAGGGCTATAATACTTGAATATTAAGTATATAGTTACTGCTAAACATAATGTGACAATGGGGTGACACTACCTATTGAATTGTAAAATTAGAGGCCTTAATGGAAAGACTAGGTAATTCTGAATAGCTACTAAAGGAGACTGCTTGTTGTGGGATATGTTTTAAAGTGTAATTTAGAAAAATTAAGTAAGAGGCAAGGAGGGGAATTTGCACTGGGAGCCAGTTGGCTACTTCTCTTTGTAAAGGATGAAAAATAATAGGATCGTTCCTATTATATCCTTTCTTATAACTCTAGACATGAATTAAATGGCAGTTTATTTAAAAGAACTTATCGAAGAAAGCATAGGATTTTAAAGACATGATGATAGGAAAGCATGTACTATTTTTTTTAAAGCAATAAACTCTTGAATAAAATTTTGCATCTTAGTTTCAGAGATAATTTGGAGATGGCAAGAGTTTGAAATGTTTCCAGGACTTGTTGACAATCCTTTCTGTCTTCCTTCTTATCAAACTCTACCTTAAACAAATTAAAAAGACAGCACAAGTTATTCATTTTGGAAAGAGGAAGCATCCACTCACTGTACTGGTGATTGATATTGTCTGTCAAGTGCTTTGGAGCTTCTTCTTATGGCTTTGGTGACACTCACTGAGGAAAGTGTCACAAGGAAACAGCCAATGTCATTATTGAGCCTGGTTGGAGGGTTTGCAAGTCTGGTGTCCTGTGGATTTTCACCAATCCATTTTACCTTTATCAACAATATCCCTTTCTTTTCCCTTGTGCTGTTATATTAGAGAACTCAGTACTGACTATTCCAAAAATTGAATTATCTCCAGTTTTTCTTTTTACCAAACAGGTAGTGTAATAGAAAGAAAAAATTAGGCTGTATGTTGAGTTTGTCACTGCTCAGTTTTACTTGCTTTTTGCCTTGTTTTCATGGCAGGTTATGTTTAGACTTTTGAGCAGATTCCTTTCAATATAATTTACAATCCATCTGATAAAGAGTTATTGAAATAAGTTTTAAAATTGCCATAATGAAACCTGTTCCTGATTATGAATTTGTGAACTGATTAAATTAACTCATAATTACCTTGCTAGGTGTATATAGGGAAAACACAATTGTAACTGTTTGTTTGCTTTTTGAAATTTTAAGAGATGATACAGTTTTAAGAGATGATACAGTTCTTAAATATAGAAATAATATATTTTTCTCATAGACTATTTTGTTGATTATGTAGAAGTTATATATTTGAAATTTTAACTTCTGTACTTTCATAAAATTCATTGTTAATCATAATTTCAAATAATTTCCTCCCTCCAGGTTTCGTAATCAAGCATTTGGAATCAAAGTAGTTATATGAAACACTTAATAATAAAATTATAGAAAACAGATGTGCTTTCCCCAACAGCTATTTCAATATATTCCACAAATAGGAAGTCCAAGCAGAGACTATAATGTAACAGTATTGGAAAGAAATAATGGTGTAATGGCATATTTATCTGGGAGGACAAATTATAAATAGGGTACTATATTTTAGTACAAAATCTAGATCGTGCTTTTTTCTACTTGGGTTATATTATTTGTTTTTCCCAAATGGGATAATAGAAAGCACTGTAGGGTCTAAACAACTGTCTTATGTTGTAAGGGAGACAGACCACCTGGTATTTTAATGTTAAATTTCCAAGCTATTGCCAGCCTAGGGATTAATGATTTTAAGCAGCTTATAATAATACGAAATTAGATATAAGAAATTACAACTAACTAAACAGGTGATTCTTTCTCTTTCCTTGAATGAAAAAAAATTCCCTCTCTTCTTACTTTAATAAAGGTATTTTATCTTGCCTTTTGCTCTTTTTCTTCATTATATTACAAAATGTAGGTCTTTACGAACTTTTAAAAGAGGTCATCTTAATGAAGCTCAATGCTATTTTACATGAATAAAAAAGTTAAATATATGCCAGGAGGGTGATAGGTGACAACTAGAGCAAAGAATTTGAAACATGGAGATTATCAGTTTCTCTTGTCCCTGCGTATTTTACCACCTGTTGGCAAGATATAATTGTAATCTAACTGGAGGGAATGACATCTAATCACCTTAAAGCACTTTGAAAACATTTATTACTGGGGTAAAAAAATGAATGGATTATGTTGTCTAACCAGGGAAGAAATCAGTCAAAGGGGACTAAAATTGTGAACCACATTTGGGAGATGTCTCTAACATAAATGATGAAAGTAAATTTATGCCCCCAATGTGGACATTTTCTTCATGGTGTAGACTAACTTCACAAATTAAATGAGTCTAGCTGATTTGGAGACGATTTTTATGAGTGAGAAGAAATCTTGGTTAGGATTCAGAATTGTTTTCTAGAGAGAGAGTGCTATGAAATACTCATGTAACTTTTTTATGTGGTGCAACCAATAGCACACTTTCTTTCAGATATATATATATACAACATCATAAAGAACTGAGATATATATATATATATGTATGTATATAAAGTACCTTGCATTTTGTGGAACTACTTTCTGAAACAAATGGACTCTAAGACATTAGTAAATAGCTGGTATATTAATTGGATTGGAAAATAGGAATTTTGCACAACAAATAAAGATTTTAGCTAAAGCCATTTTCATGCTTAGGATGTTTTACTTGGCTTAGCTTCTGTTAAAATAACCAATGAGAGTCCGTGGACTTCTAGTTACCAAACTTGATATGATGGCTATCGGATCATTTTTACTCACTATTTTTCTCTATGACCACAGGAGGACTTTTATTTTTTTTTTAGCAAAGCATTTTTAAAAATACTATTTGTGTTCCTGCTCTGGTCTGTAAAGACAGAACTACCCCACGTATATGTTGCTTAGAGACAGATACCTCTCATGATGGTTAAACCATACTAATATGACATTATTCATGCTAATTCTTCCAGCTTATAACTCATAAACCAACACCCTCAACAGTTTCACTAAGTAACCTTCTACACAAAGGATAAAGTCCATTCATCCAGGAAACGTCTGTTTATTTAAAATCATGTCCAGAGCATGACTGGAAGACTTCTTTATCTTGTTAACTGACTGTCTTAAACAATCAGCTCTATACTTTCACTTTGTGCTCAGGAAGTAGCAAAAGCAAAGTTTAAAAAAAGATTAGCTGCTACACAGAAAACATCACATCTGAACTGTTGCCAATCTGAGCAAAAATAGAATCTATAGATACACACACATATATATATACATATTCAAGTACTGATTCTAATGCACTTATCCACTTTAAAACACTGAAAAGACCTCTTCAGGCACAGCATTATTAATAGAATAAGACTCTTGGCTCTTTTGAGAGAAGCAATGCATAAAATCACATGGAAAAGAGATGCTCTTTTAAAATAAAATCACATGGAAAATGACGTATATCATGGTGCTTTAAAAGCTGGTTCCTGAAGATGTTGAGACTTAAAATTCTCCTTAAAATAAGAAAAGTACGAACATTATAATGAAAAATTTATTTTAGGAGTGAATATATATATAATATATATCCTAACATATTTTTATAGACTATATATGCTCTCTATATAGATTACATATATAAAATCTTATATTGTCTATATAGATAGAATATATATAACCTTGTTTTCCTGAAGTGACAACAGTGCAATCCTTTAGTTCATTGTCACCAACCGTAAGTACCATATATTGTAGGTATAGAATATTTTATACCAACACAGGCTCTGGCACATTCTCTGCTTGTGAATGTATGTGTATGAATTGCATGACTACATAGAGGACTCTTTTTGATATCAAGTAGCCAGATTCACTACAATTTGAGCAAAAGACTGGCCTATTGGTGTATTAGTTCAAGTTACGTGCAGGAGTTTTTTTAACTTCCTTTTATGAATGCAATACCTTCCTCAGTAGAACCATTTTTAAAGTTTAATCTCTTTTTCTAAGGCAATGAGCACATATGGTTCTGTGTATGAAGTATCCTTTTTATAAATTCTATAAGGTTTTTGCTTTTCAGAAAACATCCTGCTGTCTAGATGGGTTTGGTTTTTTTTTCTTACCATGTGAAGCTTGTCTTATATCCTACCATGAAGTCTAAATGAGATGGGGAATGTAGATGAGGAAGAAAAATAATGGTTTTGAAGAGAAGTAGCATGCCTTAAATATGAGGAATTAGGAAAGACTTAAAGAAAATCTGGATGAACATAAATGGTTTATAATATTAGGTCTCTTAACAGAGCTCCATTAACCTGAGACTTGGCTTTATGACTTAGCTTTACACTATGAATGGGACCAAATGAATTCTCTATAGTTTCATCTGTGTAAACCATGTAGTTTGAGTGTTTGAGGTATTGTCACAAATGGTCATGGCAGGTGGGAAGAAGAAAGTCTATAATTAATTTTAGAAGTTTAGAGAAAACCTATTGATATTATTTTTGCTTCAATGTTTTTTCTTATGCCTTAAATCTTCAATATGTACAATGATAATGGATGATTATTGATGTTGTAAGTAAAAAATTGAGCACATCATTTTTATATGATTTATGCTTATAACTTCTCTCTGTAAGAAAAATTATTTGCGGTTTTGATTAAGTTATGAGTGTTTAGGTTTTTACTTCTGTATCATTGCTCCCTCTAAAATATAAGATTACTGTATCTTTTGAGAAAATAGATCTGCATTTTATATAATTAAAATGTGCTTGAATGGTTTATTTATGATGTGTTGCTAATGCTTCATGTATTAATATTTTGTGTGACATTTTTCACTAAGGTAATAGAAACTTTATTTAAACCATGTAGAAATTCAGCTCATTAAAAGGCAAATCTGTTTTTGTTTCATATAGATATTAATCTTGTAAAGATTTTTACTTTATTATAATTAGTCTTTGTCCTGGTCAAAGAAAATTTTTTATAGCTTCACATACATACTGTTCAGTTGATACAAATTCAGGTACATTTTAAGATATTATTAGTTTCCTTTTTATGAAATGGAAAAACACAGATGCAGAATTTTTGTTGGTATAAATTATATCTTTAAAAACAGGAAATAAATTGCATACATTGCATGCATTTTGGGTAGATAAAGCTGTAGGAATAACCCGGTAATTTTACTAAGAGATACGTTAAATTCCTGCTTCCATTTATGGAATATTCACTGCTTTCTTTCTATTGAATTAAAGTATTATTATCTTATTTCCCCCCCCGCCATGTTTGGGAAAGAAAGAAAGGCAGTTTAGCATAGTACATTGCCTTCTTGATATGTAGTAACAAAATATGTGTGATTTGGGCAACTGAGAACACATTAATGTAGCTCTTGTGTAGTTGTCCTGTGCATCTTTGGTATTCACGAAGTGGAAAAGCAAACTGAGCAACAAAGGAGGTGTCTAGATTGCCAAAATCAAATCTCTTTGGGCTACATGGCTAACTGACAGTAGAATTTCCCACCACCATGATTGGTAACTTCTACAAGGCATTGTAAATTGACTAGCATGCATTCCTTATACACCCCTTATTATTATTATTTTTTTAAGATTTATTTATATAAGCACTGGGTACAGTCAGTAGCACGGGAGGGTGAGAGAATTCACCAGAGCCAGAGCGAAGAACAGAGCAGGCAGACTGACGAAATACACTGCTGAGCGGAGCAGCGGGCATGGCAGGAGAGGTCTGTGCGCCATGTGGGACCCTTGCCAGCGGCCGGGGATCGAACCAGTGCTGCAGAGGCTGGGGGCAGCTTCTCAGCCCAGCGCTCAGCTGCTGCACCCCCAGGGGAGGCCCTACATCCCTTATTTGTGAAAATAAATATATAGCTTTTCTGCAGGTTTCCAAGTGTCTTTGCTCCCTTTAATGGGTCCTTCATCACTGTACAGATTACTCAAATGCCTGCACCTACTCAGTCTTCCATGAAAGATACCAAGGATGCAGCAATGTCCTGGAGTTCTCTTTAGATTGATTTAACAAAGTTATTGGTTTAGTAATAACAAAAATGATTTTAAAATGCAAAAATAACTAAACATTAAGTTGGAAACCCAATCAGGCAATTCCCCTTGGTTTCACTGTATTTGTTCTTTTTGGATAAAGAGAACTGTCTCTTTTCTGTCCTTTTTTTTTATTGATGTACCTTTGGTTTATCAATACTGTGTAAGTTTCAGGTGTACAGCTTCATACCTCGATAAATGAATGTACCTACCCCCAAATTTCTAGTACCATTCACCACTATCCATTTGACCCCCTCTACCCTTTCCTCTCATCTTTCCTCTTCACCTCTGCTAACCAGAATCTAGGAGTTTCTTTCTGTTGTGTTTGCTCATTTATATTCCATGTAGTAAAATCATAGGGAATTTGTCGTTTTCTTTCTGAGTTATTCACTTAGCATAGTCACTTCAAGTTTCAGCCATGTTGTGGAATCCTTGCCAAGATGGGGAGGTAAAATGTCACAGTTGGGGGGGTTCTCACCCATGTGTTTAGAACTGCAGTTGTAGGACATGACTCAAGCTAGGAGTTCAACATCAGAGTTTATTTACAAAGGTGGGGGGAGAGAGAGAGAGAGAGAGAATGGGAAATTTGATGCAGAGATCAGATGCAAAGATCTTGAAGGCTGAAGAACTTCCAAAGTTCTCTTCATAGGTGGCACCACAGCAGTCATCAAACGGATTACACAGCAGTAATCTGAAGCCTGGTCTGGCCATTACTGGACACTGAACCAGTCAGCACCAAAGGTAATAGAGCACCAGGGGTAGGTGCTGGATGTGTCAGAAGCAGGGATCTGTGTTATAGCTGTTAGACATGCTGAGCGTAAAGCCAACAGCATGCAGCTCTTTGAGAAACACCTAGCATGGAGCCAATGGTTTCTGTCATTCAGCAGGTGATGCTGGATGCAGGAGGCAGAGTTGGGGTCTGTGAAGAAATGTTGCCAGAGGACAGGAAGCTGCTACAGCTATACAAAGGTCTTCCCAGGAGAGAGTGGGGATGAATCTGCATGACTGATGAAGAGCTTACTGGAGCCTCTTGAAGGTGCCTGCCTTTCAAATCTGATTGGTCCATTTTACTTTGATTGGCACCCATGGGAACTCCAATCATATGACCTATTTACAATCCCAGTTAATTGATTGATGTTGGTTGAACTGCTCAGTGTGTCCAACCTGACCAATAGTAAGGTTGAGCTTCAAAACTGTTTTCATTGGTGCCTCTGATATTGTCACAAATGACTCAATTTCATCTATTTTTATAGCTTGAATAGTATCCCATTGGGTATATACACCCTAATTCATTCATCTGTTATGGGAATTTAAGTTAATTCTATGTCTTGGCTATTGTGAATAATGCTGCAGTGAACACAGAGGTACAGATATCCCTTCAAATTTGTGTTTTATATTCTTGTAAATAATCACAAGTGGAATTGCTAGTAGATCTTTTTCTTTCAAACATGCCATCTTCCTGAGCCATCTTAAATACTAAATCATGATACCAACAACAGATCTGTGACTCCCCAATCTGTATTTCTAGGCAGGAAGTCCTAGTTCTGGTTTCACAACTCAGCTGGATATTCCATAATTATTTCAAAGTCAAATGTCCCATTTTCTTGAAAACATATTTCTTTTTTTTTTTTTTTTTTACAGAGGCATGTTTTTATTTATTTATTTATTTGTTTGTTTTGTTTATACATGCACTGGGTACAGTCAGAAGCGCGGGAGGGTGAGAGAATTCACCAGAGCCAGAGCGGGGAGCAGAGCAGGCAGAAGGACCGAAGTACACTGCTGAGGGGAGCAGCGGGCGGCAGGAGAGGTCTGCACGCCATGTGGGACCCTCCTCCGGTGGCCGGGGAGCAGCCGGGGATCGAACCGGCGCCGCAGAGGCTGCGGGCAGCTTCGCAACCGAGCGCTCAACCGCTGTGCCACTGGGGAGGCCCGAAAACATATTTCTATTCCTATGTAGCCTACTTTGGACATCCAAGAAACCTGGGAGTCATTTTTTCAATTATCATAACTCCTTCACTCTATGTCCAACCAGTTATTTTATTAATTTTTTAGAATGGAAGCTTAGAAATGTTAGTTCATTGTATTTTAATAGGCATTTCATTGATTTACATGCTTATCTCTTTTTTTCCTACTAGGTTTCTGATTTTTTTGTTATTGTTTTAAAGAGCTTCTTGATATTTTATTTGTAACTTTAGCTGTGGTTATATAATTTATAAATATCTCTGCCAGCTTATGGTTTACCTTTTACCTTTCTAAGAATGATATCAAGTTAGAGAATTTTTGAAATAGTGTAATAAAATACAGTAATATTTCTTTGTAGTTTGTTTTTTTGTACTTTAAAAAATGTATCAGGGCCTCCCCTGTTGGCCCAGGTGGTTGAGTGCAGCGCTGTGAAGTTGTCCGCAGTCTCTGCAGCGCTGGTTCGATCCCAGCCGGGCAGCAAGGGTCCCACATGGCGCTGCAGACCTCTCCTGTCTTGCCCGCTGCTCCCCTCAGCAGTGTATTTCATCAGTCTGCCTGTTCTGTTCCCCACTCTGTCTCTGGTGAATCCTCTCACCCTCCCATGCATCTGGCCTGTAACTGGTTCTTGTATAAATAAATAAATAAATCTTTTAAAAAAATGTATCAGAACCTGATGTCAGTTTTATTCTGTAACACTTGTTTTGTTTGCTTGTTTGCTTGTTTTTCATATTTTTCTGAGTATGTTGGATATAGATTCTAAGTTGTCACTGATACTTGGGGACCCAAAGTGACACTGTCTCCTCCACTAGGGTAGAGACATAGGGAGTCAGATAATGAACGGAGTCCTGGCCAACATCTGTATCACAATAGTCTACTGCGTCCTTCCCTCCTTTCCAAATATATAATTATGTGGCTATTCTTAACCATCACACTGGTTCTTATGAACTGCAGAATAAGAACTATTATAGTAGGAGAGGCCAAATGAAATCCTTGAAACTTCCCCTCTAGGCCAAGAAAATAAATATCATACATTGAGGGAATGGCAGATCTAGTGCTATTCTGAAAAATTTAAAGGATGCATGAATGGCAGACCACACTTGATTCCCATTTAACTTACTAGTCTGGCTACTTTACATGGTGACAATAATATACTATCACTCATTAATAAAGTGATAGTCCCAATTACAAAAGCTTGTGTCTGGTACAGTATCTTTATTAGAAAAGATTAGTACACTTTTTGGTATGTGACATGAAGCTATTGATTTGCCATATATATTTTTTTCAATACCCATTAAAGAGGCAAACCAGAAGCAATCTGCATTTGTAAGGGCTGGACACTAGTATACATTCAGCCTTATTAATGGCTGCGTTCTTTCTCTGAATGTCAATTACTACTGTGGTCATTCTTTTTGTTTAACATTCGTTTGACTCTATCTCATCCTTTCGTCTGCATCTTTGCCATTATGTGTATTTCTTGTAAATTGCATATAGCTGGATTTAAAAAATCCAATCTGTGAGTCTTTGTCTTTTAGAAACAGAATTTACTCACACAAATTTTGAATTAATTCTACTATCTTGTTTTGGTAATGGCCATCTTTGATCTCCTTTCTCTCCTTTCTAATTTTGCAAAATTCTCAAAGGATTTGTGGAAAATTCTCAAGTTTACTATTTAATTCCATACTATTTTTTTCTCTGCTTTTCAAGCTCCTCTTAAATATGTATTGGACCTTTAATTCTTTTCCCAAATCTCAATCTTTTTTTT